AAGTTTAGAAATGAATTTAAAGAAAGGCAAAAAAAGAAAACCATTAAACACTATTGTATCTTGCCATGGTTGGTAGTAATTAATTGCTTCCAAATTTCACACAGTCAACAGATATCTAAAATGAATATTTTCAAAGAAATAGTGGCTCAGAAACTAGCAGAAGTATGAGGGTATGAGGGTCGCAATGGCCGCATCACTTAGTAAACTTATTGAAATCCTTTTTGAGCAAAATCTGTTGCCTCTCGGCCTCTCCATATACAAGGGAGTGTGTCTTCTGCTCAGCTAACTAAATCCTCGCAAGGACAATCATGTGCAGGTGAGCAGGCAGAGCTGGTGTCACAGGACTGTGCGTGAGTTCATGCCTAGAACTCAAATCACCTTCTGTGTGATTTGATGTTCCTCTGTGCCACTTTGGGATTCTTACCTTTTCTTCCTTGAGAAACTCACATTTTCATTTTGCCTGGAGCATCCCATCTTATGGACCTTGTGGGCCTAGGAGGTGCCTTTGCAACCTCTACTGGAAACACTCACGGGCTCTCCTGGTGTCTCCAAAGTTCATGTGGAGCAGTTGAACTACACAATCAGCAAGACCCACAACTGAGAGTTCTCCCATATTCCATGGGTTGGACACTTTGATGACACCTCTCCTCTTGACGCACACTGTTCTCTCATCCATCTGCCTCAGCCATAGAGAAAGGAGCTGCCTAACAGAAGATCATAGCGAGAATGGTGAGTAAACTCTTCCCTTCTCTCTTTGCTAAGAGAAATGGCAAAACCCACCATGTTGCCATATGACCCTGGCAGAGTCTTTGCCTAGGACAGCCGACTAGCTGTGTTTCCTGAGAGCAGAAAAGATTTGTTGGACACCTTACCTTCTGCTGTTTTCCCTCTGTCAAAGGCAAAATTACAACAAATTTAGCTTAATGATCTCAATTGGCTTTTATTTCATCCTCTCTAATCAGGCAACACCTCATTCTATAAAATACAGAGAGGGCTCCAAAGAGACAAGCTGAGGAGCTGGATGTATGGACAGGAAAGGGCCGAGGGAAGCCACCAAAGAGAACAAAGGAAAAGTCGTCATTTTGTAAAAGGTTAAAAGGCAAGAACTTCCCAAAATAGGCAGTTTAAGAAGTTTGACTCTTTTCTTTCTCTTATACTTCTTGAAAGTTCAGATAAACTACTGTTTTGTCTTTAAACCTCAGCATGAATGGTTTCATTTTGTTCTATTTTGATTGATACAGGAGTTCTTTACAAAATAATTCCTGTACACATTTATGATTATTTTGGACTACTGAGGGTTGAACCCGGTCCTCACACTTGCTTAGTAAGTACTCTTTGTCAGTAACTGACAATAAGGATTCGTCTTCTATGAATTTTGTTTATATCTTTGCAACTAAGCAGTAATACACATACAGCATTTTGCTACATGGAATTTTTGAAGGCATCTAAACTAAGATTTCTCTGAGAACACAGTTAAGAGCAGAGCTTCTGATTGAATAGGACAGAGCACAATCTCATTGTCTAACTAGAAAGCCTCAGTGTCCTTGGTTTTCCTGTTATTTAAATTGTATCAGTTAAGAGGATTTAAATAAATATTTAAGGCATTTCCAGATTTTAGAATTCTGTTGCTATTTGGACATTCCCAAGAAGGTCTGTCTCTCATTGGTAGATTAAAATGATACTTTCTAATTATTTTATAATGGCTACTAGAAAGTCCCCAAAAATAATGTCCTATAACTGAGTTGCATGGAGAGTAAGGATGCATACAATTTGCTTGTAAGAATATATATATATATATATATATATATATATATATATATATATACAGATAATAATACTAATAAAGTGTTTTTAAATATTTTTGACATTTTGTAAAACTATTTTTTTTGGTACTGGGGATTTGAACTCGAGGCCTGGTGCTACTAATAATACATTTAACTGTATGATAGATGTAGACTTGTGCGATGACTTTTTTTTCTCAAGAATGACTTCAAATCTTCTTCTCATTCTGTACAACTTAGGAAAGAACTTTTCAAATTCCATAAAATGTTTTTTTTTTAACTGTAGATATTTTTTCCCATTTGCTGCTTTAATTTGTAAACTCTCATTGATTTTATTTCCAGATCATTTTCAGGAGCTGCATAGAACCAAAGCCCATAAAGGTGCAGAGCCGATAGAGACACTGAAGAGAAAGGGTAGACACACAAGAAGGTGAAACACCAGGCTCCGTCCAAACTGTGTCAGTGACTGCATGCAGTCAGCCCCGCTTGGCCATCCTACACATAAGCGCTCTGTGTGGCACCTTACATATTGGGATTATTTGTGGCTTTGGCTTCTCTACTCAGAGTTAATACTCTCTTAAAGAGTTCCGGTCTTTCTTTAAACATTGTAGAATGACAGATGTATTACAAAACATGAACAATTTTAGTAAAAACCATGGTCATCTATGAAGAATAAATTCACAAAAGTTTAAGTATTCAAATTCCACTCCCTAACTCTGAGACACACATTTTGAGAAACATTTTGGTCATCTTCATGTGAGGTTCATCGTTGCTCTTGTTCTTATTAAAAAGTTAGGAAATGACTTTGGATAGTATTTATGAGTAACATAAAGGAATACTTCATTTAAATTAACCTGAAACATATGGCTGTGTCATTTGGTAACTGTATGTGAATATATCTATGCTGTTCATATGTTATATTTACTTTATTGACTGTGTATGCACACTATAATGAACATTTCAGGATTTACTGAACAATGGAATACAATGAGAAGGATCAAATGAATTTCTGGGGACAAAATGTGAAAAGCACATGATGCTTTATAACTTTCATGTTTTATTCCTTTTGCTCTTCCTCAAAAATGGACCAGATTCTTAAACTGCAAGTATTAAAGAATGTTGGAAATGAAAAGGTCAACCAGAATGAAGAAAAGCATGACCAAATAATGAGGTGTTAGTCACATTCGCTTCAGTCTCAAAGCCATGTATTGACACTGTTTTGTGTTTATTTCAGAGACACAAAATTTTGGACCAGTGACAAAGGTGACTTGAAATATCCACTAAAAGTGTTTTCTTCTTTTTCTTTTTTTTAATAGTTTGCATCATATGCTTTTTACATTTTGTCCCCAGAAATTTATTTGATCCTTCTATTGTATAAATTCTGAAATGTCTCTATCGGCTCTGCACCTTTATGTGCTTTGGTTCCATGCAGCTCCTGAAAATGGTCTGGAAATAAAATCAATGAGAGTTTACAAATTAAAGCAGCAAATGGGAAAAAATATCTACAGTTAAAAAAAACATTTTATGGAATTTGAAAAGTTTTACAAAATGTCAAAAATATTTAAAAACATTTTATTAGTATTACTATCTATCTATCTATCTATCTATATATATATATATATATATATTCTTACAAGCAAATTGTATGCATCCTTAATCTTCATGTTACTCAGTTATAGGACATTGTTTCTGGGGACTTTCTAGTAGCTATTATAAAATAATTAGAAAGTATCATTTTAATCTACCAATGAGATACAGCCCTTCTTGGGAATGTCCAAATATCAACAAAATTCTAAAATCTGGAAATGCATTACATATTTATTTGAATCATCTTAACTAATACAATTTAAATACAAAAACCAAGGACACCAAGGCTTTCTAGTTAGACAATGAGATTGTGTTCTGTCCTATTCAATCAGAAGCTCTGCTCTTAACTGTGTTCTCAGAGAAATCTTAGTTTAGATGCCTTCAAAAATTCAATGTAGCAAAATGCTGTATGTGTATTACTGCTTAGTTGCAAAGATATAAACAAGATTCATAGAAGCAGAATCCTTATTGTCAGTTACTGACAAAGAGTACTTACTAAGGAAGTGTGAGGACCGGGTTCAACCCCTAGCAATCCAAAATAATCATAAATGTGTACAGGAATTATTTTGTAAAGAACTCCTGTATCAGTCAAAATAGAACAAAATGAAACCATTCATGCTGAGGTTTAAAGACAAAACAGTAGTTTATCTGAACTTCCAAGAAGTATAAGAGAAAGAAAAGAGTCAAACTTCTTAAACTGCCTATTTTGGGAAGTTCTTGCCTTTTAACCTTTTACAAAATGACGACTTTTCCTTTGTTCTCTTTGGTGGCTTCCCTCGGCCCTTTCCTGTCTGTACATCCAGCTCCTCAGCTTGTCTCTTTGGAGCCCTCTCTGTATTTTATGGAATGAGGTGTTGCCTGACTAGAGAGGATGAAATAAAAGCCAATTGAGATCTTTAAGCTAAATTTGTTGTAATTTTGTCTGTGACAGAGGGAAAACAGCAGAAGGTAAGGTGTCCAACAAATCTTTTCTGCTCTCAGAAAACAAGCTAGTTGGCTGTCCTAGGCAAAGACTCTGCCAGGGTCATATGGGAACACGGTGGGTTGCGCCATTTCTCTCAACAAAGAGAGAAGGGAAGAGTTTACTCACCATTCTCGCTATGATCTTCTGTTAGGCAGCTCCTTTCTCTATGGCTGAGGCAGTTGCTGAGGCAGATGGATGAGAGAACAGTGTGCATCAAGAGGAGAGGTGTCATCAAAGTGTCCAACCCATGGAATATGGGAGAACTCTCAGTTGTGGGTCTTGCTGATTGTGTAGTTCAACTGCTCCACGTGAGCTTTGGAGACACCAGGAGAGCCCGTGAGTGTTTCCAGTAGAGGTTGCAAAGGCACCTCCTAGGCCCACAAGGTCCATAAGAGGGGATGCTCCAGGGAAAATGAAAATGTGAGTTTCTCAGGGAAGAAAAAGTAACAATTCCAAAGTGGCACAGAAGAACATTAAATCACACAGAAGGTCCTTCTAGGCATGAACTCACGCACAGTCCTGTGACACCAGCTCTGCCTGCTCACCTGCACATGATTGTCCTTGCGAGGATTTAGTTAGCTGAGCAGAAGACACACTCCCTTGTATATGGAGAGGCCGAGAGGCAACAGTTTTTGCTCAAAAAGGCTTTTTTTTTTTTTTTTGTCTTTTTCATTTTTATCGGTACCAGGGATCAAACTCACGACCGCCTGCTTGCAAGGCAGGCGCTTATGCCGCTGAGCTAAATCCCCAGCCCCTCAAAAAGGCTTTTCAATAAGTTTACTATTACTAAGTGACGCGGCCATTGCGACCCTCATACCCTCATACTTCCGCTAGTTTCTGAGCCACTATTTCTTTGAAAATATTCATTTTAGATACCTGTTGACTGTGTGAAATTTGGTAATGAATTACTACCAACCATGGCAAGGTACAATAGTGTTTAATGTTTTTATTTCTTTGCTTTTCTTTAAATTCATTTCTAATCTTATTAGTGTCATATGTGAAGCGTAGTACATTTCTGACACAATATTGATAAAAAAAACTAATGGGTTTAAAGCGTGATGCCTGTATGTCTCAAGGTCTACACCTGACTTAAATATTTATATGATTTTTCCCTATTTCACTTGGTACATTTTTGGAAATTGAATTGTAAATTTTAATATGTTATCAACTTTGGGTGTCAGAGAAACAACAGAAAATTTCAAATTAAATTCTGTTCAATATAACCTGAATATAGCACTAAGATATGATAAAGGGTTTATTTTTTAGTATTTGTATTAAGCATGCACATCAGATCAATTTTCTGTATACCATTTTATTTAAAAACAATTAAACAAGAGATATTTTATAAAAAATAATAGCTTCTATTTGGAAGCATTTGAAATTCATTGTATACTACATTAAATGATAGACACACAAAACTGTTATGATATTTTTGTGCTTAGCCTGTAATTTTTCTACTTCTCAATTTAAAAAGTTTGAGTAGGACTTTAACATTTAATAAATGGTTTTTACTGTTGGGAGCCAAGTGTAAATGACATCTCCTTGTTTAATTGAGTTCAGATATTGTTCTACAGCAGTAATATTCCCGGTAATAAAAAAATTCCTACTTCATAGGACTTATTATGTATTTTATTTTACTCTTGGGACTAGAGATGTAGCTCAGTGTTGCAGAGCATTTCTGGCATAAAATGACACCCTAGTTTCAATAAGAACTGAAAACACAGATAGATATGTTCTCTTATGCTTAAGAATGATGTCTTCTAGATACATACTATAACAATAATAAAATTCAATTAAATAAACAATCTAATTTAGAATTATATATCTTATATCAGAAAATGAAACAATTTATCAAAGGGCAGCTTGGTAATTTCGCTACATTGTCCAACACAAAAAATGCAGAGACAACTACAAATTAGACCTACAGACATATTCTGAACACACTATCTTGCTTCCAACATAGTCTTTTCTATTTTCTTTTCTACATTATTTCCTCAAGAATAGTATATTTGACTAATGAGTCCTATTATGAGAACTTAAAATTTTTTCAGGGTTGACAGAGTATTGCTAGAATTTTCTAGGCTTTTTTTTTCATCAAAAATTTTAATGAAGTCATCAAAAGTTATTTTGAAAGCCTTATCATGTCTTTAATGAATGTGATATTACTGCTTAGCAAATCCTCACCTTTTTGACTTCATTAGAAATTAAGGAAAGGGAATATATCTTAGTTTTTGTTGCTGTTTCGAAAAGAAAAGGAAATAGTCAATACATGAAGTCATAGAGAAATACAAAATTGAACACATGAGAAATTGCTATTTCCAACCATCTGGGAAAAGGGTTATAGGATAGGATCCTATACATTTGAAAATCTGCAGATAGGAAGCAATCAGTCTGCTTTTTCTATGAAAAAAACCCCTGTCAACAGTAAAATATGATGTTATGAATGGCTAAGAATATTTGGGGCCATTTTGAAGTGTTCTCTACTAATTTTGTCCATAATTTTACTTAATTTAACACAATAAACTCACATTTGTTTCTATGGCATCCATAAGTATTCCATGAATTTGAAATACAATTCAAATTTAAGTTGTGTGCATTTAAAAGTATAGAGCTTTGTTTCTAAATGAGCTTTGACTACACAGTTTTATCATCTCTAAACATATCTCCTGAAATATGGAAAAGCTTGAATTTCTATTGTGTATGCTTTATAGTTTCTGTGTCCACTTGCTATCAAAAATATTCTGTAGATAAAGAAGCAAAAGCTTAATGTGAATAAGGGTATCAGTAAAATTTAAGTAAATCACAATGGCTTAAGAATTCTACAAACATCATAAGTTCTACATTTATACATAAATAAAATTTTAGACATGTACTATCTTATATACTACAATATGATCAAAGCCCCAGGCTGGGCTTCCTGGACCTACTGGGAGGAAGCCTAGCATGCCAGCGGCTCCTCCCACAGTGTTGGAGGACTAAGGTGAGCAGATTTCCTTCCTAAGCCTGGCCTCCCTCGACGGGAAGGACCACGCAGGCAATGCTGTCTTCTAGCTGAGCTCTTCATCACACCATGCGTGTCAGGATCTTGGCCCAAGTGGGGAGCCTTCATCTCCATGGCACGCAGGATCTCTTTGGTGCGAGCATTTCCCCTCCTTAACTCCCGGAGCAGGCTTCCAGCAGTGGCAGCTGCAGCCCAGTTCTTGCGGGCTTCTTTCTGCATGCAGGTCAGCTGCCTTTGGTGAGAGCGAATGGTTTTCTCCCACTCCTCCTGCATGTCCTGGGCTATTTTCCTGTAGGTCTCCAGCTCTTGAGCAGTGTGGCCCACCTCCTCTTCCCGTATGGGCAGTTTCCTTCCTTGCTCTGCCCGGACTCTGGCCTGCTGTCTCAGTTTGGTGTGGCTTGGCGGCACAGTTTGGTGGTGAACCTCACCCATCACTCTGACCTTCTGCTCAAGCTTTTGGTGCTCGCCTTGCAGCTGTGCCGTGGCTGACTCCAGAGATGTTTTCTGAGTCTGGAGACTATACAGAGACTTTTTCAGTTCTTTCTCAGTGTTCTCTGCCTCCCAGAGTTGAGTGCAAAGTTGGTTTCTTTGCTCTTCCGTGGTCTTTAAGGACGCATTTAATCGAGCACCATACACTGGTTTCTCCAAAGACACTGGCTGATGACCTGAGACAGGACCATTTTCCAGTTGGCTCTTGACTTCAGCCCCTCGTTCCTTTCCCCGTTGAGCTTCCTGGGAAAGCTGTGAGTGGCTTTCGGGGAGTTGGGCATTCTCACTCAGAGCAACTGTCATTTCTCTCTGGAGCCGCTCTTTGCCCATGTTCCACAAGGCGAATTTCATGTTAGCTATTTCCGAAGTCACTGATGTTAATTCCTCTGCCAGGGACCCGATCCTGTTTGCTGTCTCTGCCATCTCTGATTGCTGTTGTCGAACATGCTCTTTTTGCTCTTTGAGGAGGCGGTCTACCTGCCCTCGAATCTTCGATCTGTTCCTCAACAGCAACACCTTCTCTTTGGCTGCCTTCCAACGCTGTGCTGCCCTGGCCTCCTCTTCTGGGCCGGCCTCCTTGAGAGTTGTCTCTAAGGCTTCCTATTCTTTCTGAAGCTGGCCGAGTTGGTCCAAGAGTTGGCACTTTTCTTTCATGAGTCCTGCGAGCTGGAGAGCAAGCCCTTTTTCTCTGCTCACTGCCAACCAACTTCTAACAGAACAAAAAGTTCTCCATGAAATCCAAAGAAGGGTCAAAAGACTCATAGTGTCTGCCCACTACATCACGCAAGGCTGCGTGACCAGTTGGCTGAGCCACAGTACTGGCCTGGAATGTTCAGTGTTTGGTCCAGAACCTTAGCAACGGGAGTGGCCCACTGCTGAGCTGGTTAGGGGGTGAATTGAGAGGAAATCGCGGAAACACGATTTGTCAAGCATCATGGGCTCAGTTTCCCTGTGCTGAGAGATATTCAGGGGCTCTTATTTTGCTCTCTGTCCTGGAACAACCCAGTGCCACACATCCCCAGAAGCCTGCCATGTGCCCATCCTGACAGCCCCACCACTTCCCATTGGTTACCTCTGGGATGATGGTGTTAAGTGGGGGTGGGGAAGGAAAACCAATGTGGAGATAATGGTATGCTGTGTCCCCCAATGTCTAAGAAGTGCTTTTTTGAAACACAGCCTAAAACACTACCAGACCACATATCTCATAATTCATTGAAATTATCTTGACAAGGGAGAAAAGTCCTTTGTTCACCAGGATGGTTTCTTCTGCCATCATTAGATATTTTAATGCCAAATTTATCTATACACCTTGATGTCTACACACTTTAATTGTCCACATACCACATGTTCTTGTGTGTGCTCTTGGTCTCTCAATTTATTCATTTTCCTTCTTGGATTTAGTGTCCTTTGGCTCATTTGTTTCTTTGACTTCCTTATTTGAAGTGTTGTTCTCATTCTATATTCCCTTCCTGACTGGTTTAATCAACTTGTGCATTTTTAAACTATCACTTCCTGTCTCTCACACGTATACCTCCATCCCTGGACATCCCTTAATTCCAGCCCCATATGACTCCTTTCATGTTAAAGACCTTCTTCAGTGCCTCTGACTATCCCAAGCAGTATCCATCTTCCCCTCACCTCCTCTCTCTCTCTGTCTCTTTCTCTCTTTCTCTACCTCTCTGTCTCTGTCTCTGTCTCTTTTTTTCAGGTCTTGCCATGACCCTTATGTTTTTTTTTAATCTAGAATTTTCTTCCACATCAATTTGTCCTCACTTGCATCAATTTTCTCATTCATCTAGGCATATTTTTTTGAGAAGCCTGTGTGACCTGCTCCTTCTCTAACCTCCAGAATATCCTGCTCCCATCTCATGATTGAATAACATGGTATAGTTTAGTATCTTGTCTTTCTGCCATTGCACATTGCCATGCAGAGCAAGACTACATGTAAGCAAATTCATCACCTTACCGTTTCCAGTGTGCCATTATAAAATAACAAGGAAAGTTCCATTTGTAGTGTACCAATGAGAATTCTGAAATCAGGGAATGCCTTACATATTTATTTGCATTCTCTTAAATGCGACAATTTAAATGAGTAAAACCAGGGACAGCATGGCTTTCTAGTTAGACAAGGAGCTCATGTTCTGTCTTATTCTGTCAGAATCTCTGCTCTTAACTGGGTTGACAAATGAAACATGAAGGGAAAATTGGTAGTGGGAGAGGACTGCAGTGGTAGGCAAGGGAATGATTGCCTGCGGGAAGGGATAGGTAGAGCAAAGGACAGGGAGGACCATGGATGTGCTTTTTGTGTTGTTCTCTGAATTTGACCTCATGGGCAGGAGGAATTCACCCTGCAGTGATTATGACTGACCAGTCCTCAGTGCCTCCAGGCAGGAATGACTTTCTGAACTTCACACCTTGAATAAAAACTTGAGGCTGGGCCCAGATGTCCACCTATACATTGAACATAGACTGAATCTCACAGACTCTTTCAATGCAAATAATCATCCTGTGTATTCTTACATAACTGTAGAAAGCATCTTTAGCCTGAATTCACAACAGAAACTCCTTCCTGGAGATTAATCCTCTGAAGAGGAAAGATAAATTGTGGTACATTACTTAAGAGCATCTCTGGCAATATGCAGAATTAACCAATCCTGGTATTATTGCGATCCAGTGGTAACAAATGCAGCACTTCATCTAGCATTCAGAAGGTTAAAAGGGTTATTTTCAAGGATCCTATCACAGCTATGGATTCAGCTGTGAGGTGTAATGTCTGCCGAGGTCTGAGGACGCAGGCATGAGGAGCATATCAGTGCCAAGACAGATGTTCTTTAACCTTCCGCTAACATACAGCTTTCAGCATGTTCTTTTCTCCATTTGTTTCAGATCAAAGATGAGCCACTGAGTCAGTGGCTGCCCTAGGCCAATTCTGTAGCCAAATTGAACAATACTTTTTTCTGTATATTCTCCCAAAAACAGAGAATTACTTTTTCTTAAAAAAGATCTTCTGACAACAGATTTTTACATTGATTATAGTGTGTTAGTTCTTTTGATGTTTACAAATCAACTTAAGCTTCTATACTTATAATCTTGCATCTGCTCTAAATTTCAACAGTAGCGGAACTACATTATATGGTTTCTTCTTAAATCAATTCATTTATTTTGTTTTATGCTCTACCTTAACCACATTGTCTTGGAGCGTAACTTGTACTCTGCACACCACTTCACGAGGGATAGTAAGGTTGAGCCCTAGGGGTCTACCAGGAAGGGTGTATTGTGTTAGGACAAGCAGACATGCTGCTGCCTTCACAACTGACTCTACAGACTACACAGATTTTTTTCCACTTGGTAAAACTGAACTGGATTTGGCTCTTCTTCAATGACTAAATTTTCTCTCGAAGGTTGCAAAAATCTCTATTGGTCTATTCCTGCCTAACCGTCTTTCAAAAATCATGGTTGGGTTTACTTGTAAGACAGTGAAAAATGACAATAATAAGAGTAGGTTACAAATGAGCCCTCAGATAATCACTTTATGTCGTGTCTTTCCAAAATTCTAGAAATAAATTTTCAATAGCCAAGCTACAACTCTGAGAAAGACACTATTATTCTAAAATCCATTAATTAAGTATATTCTCATGGCAAGATATAGGTACACGTATCCTCAGATTCGGAGGAAACTTCACTTGTGGCTTGATATGCTTTCTCTCAGCATTTTTGCTCTTGCACTTTCATCAGGTAAAATACTACATGGTAATATTTTAACTTGGTAGATGTATGTTATCAGCACATATTAATTTTCAAAATATAAGAGATTTGTGCTATTTTCATAAATGTGTATAATATATCTTGATGATATCCAACCTCACGAATGCCTCTGGAAAGCTTTATTCTTTTCCTTTTATATAATAGTAATGTCACTTCTATTTTCATATCTTTTTTTAAATGTACTTCATAATAGAAACAACACATGATGAATTATCTTTCCAAGTCTCCCATATTATTAAGCACAACAATGTCCACTTGTATCCGTTTTCTGACAAGTGACATTTTTATGGCTGGATATACTCTATTTTGTATGCATACCTAACCCTAACCCTAACCCTCTAAAATCACTGTAGATGAGAGAGAGACATCAAGAAAAGAATGAATTTCTCAGCCTTCTGACTTGTGGACCCCTGGATGCACCACACAAAGAAGTTCTTTGGCGAGATTACAAGAAGATTTTCTAAATTGTGATTTAAAAAGACTGCATTTCCCTGAAGCATAGAATCTACACAAATAAGAAAGTGTAGAATGAGAGTCCCATCATAGACAACTATCAACTTATGCTTTTTTTAGCCCATTTTCCTCACCAGAGATTGTTTCTTTAGAATCCTTTGTTTCCATTTCATCATCCATATTACATATGTAGGGGGAATACGTAACATTACAGTCTCAGACTTCAGAAAATGGGATGAATTTTGAAATATAAGAAGCAATATTTGGGATAGAAAAAGGGTAAGTATATTCTCCTTAGCACAATAAATGTGAAGTTCACTGTGTGTGTGTGTGTGTGTGTGTGTGTAACTACAGAGGATAATTGTGCCCAAATTAACTAAATCGTAATTAATTTGTTTCTTTTTATTTCACAAAGCAACCCTTTGAGCTAGAACTAGGTATCTGACTGCCTAGAATAAACACATCTTTTCTAGAGTCTCAAAAAGCAATGTATGCTCATGTGACTAAGTTCCAGCTAATGAGTTATAATAATACATGGTTTTTAAATGTTCAGGAACATTGATTAAAAGGCACATGTTCTTTGTTCTTTCATTGAGACTATGGCACAATGAGTAGATACTCAGAAGCTAGACTTGATCACATTTTGAAAATTTATATACAAGAGATGACAGGAGAAAGCTGAAAAAAAAGCTTCTACATCATTAATATAGTGTTGACCTACAGCTTTTAAATGTAAGACTATAAAACAGCTGAGAAAGGCATATAAGAAAGACTGTCTTAATTAGAGTATTTTATTGTGTACATCTAAATTCCATTAACGTGATGAATATTCAGTTGCAGAATTACGTGTGATGATAAACTCTAAAAACATCTAAAATTCTTTAATTGTATGTAAGATACAAAGAGCAACCATAACATTTATTATTTAATATTGTTTAAAAATGAAATCAAGCTATATCTTAGTTACTTTCCTCTCACTGCTATCCTGATGGTCAAGTTTATGAAAGAGAAGATTGTCTTAACTCACAGTTTTGTTGGTTTCAATGCATAATTAGCTGGCTCCAAGGCTGGGTGGCATGGCCGAGGGTCAGTTGTTCATGTTGGCCCTAAACAGCCCAAAGTAGAAAGAGCAAAGAGGGGGAAATCAAAACTCCTATTATACTATATTATATTATATTACATGTCAGCACTGCCCTGGGAGGGTGCTGTACTCATACTACCAATCCCAGTGCTAGACAATTTGCCAATAAAACATGCTGGATTCAGCCGTCTCCATGACTACATGACTCTTGGCTCCCTTAATTACCTTGTCAGGAAGGTGGAATAAATAATTTTTAAAAAATTAAAACTGCAAGTTAAAATGGAAGTTGTATGTAACTTTTGGGAAAAATCAATCAAAACTGAAAGAGCATATATAGCAACCACTTATAAACTAAAAGTATAAATATTAATAATTTAAATGTAAGCTGATAACCATTAAAACAGAATAAAAATACTTATCGGCAACTACAACAAAACCATAATGTCTCTAGTGTGTATCTTAATGACTTAAATGTACTATATATATATTTCATGACATATATTTACTAAAACTGATAAAAATAATCAATCATACATGGAATTGAAAGTGCTTAATATCTCTACTATTTACTGTATTTGAATAAAAAATTTAACAACAACTCCTGAAATGGAAAATTAAGCAAGAAAACTGATATTTATTACAATGTGAATAATAAAAATATAAACAAAGAGGAAAGTCAAAATTGGCTTGCCATGTGCTGCTGGCAGGCTGACAAGAGATTTGGTGAACTATTTTCTAAAATGGTTACAATACTCATGTCTAGTAAAGTTGCAATTTGAAAATATGTGTGTTAAATAAAACAAGTGAATAGCATATGAAGTTATATTCAAATAATTCAAGGAAGGAGGCACTATGTTGACTACTATTATGTTAGATTATCTGGGGGTGAAACCAATGATGCTTAAATTGTTCGGTTCTGACCTGTGTTGTTCTAATACAATGTCCTCTTTTACCTCAATCCCACTCTTTTTAAAATTAATCTATTTTTTTCTTGCATTTTTTTCCAATTAAGGGAAAACTAAATTAAAAAATAGCAGGATATATTATAGTAATTTTTTTGTTTTCCTATTTACCTGATATGAACCCCAGTATTGTATTACTCTCCCCATCTTGTTCTATGAGATTTTACTATATTCTCTTTTGTTTGATGGTATCAAGTTTGAGGGTATAGCCAACCACTTTCAAGGCAATAAGATTCACTAAGATGTCCATTATGGCTTGACTATTACCTTCTTTCGAAATCCTGTAAGGTCTCCACGGTAGGTTTTATTGGTCTTGTTCTGTACTGTTTTGATCAATTCTATTATACCTGATGATATACGTAACTTTTTAAAAAAATAGCAAGAGGCACAATGGTAACCCTTTTAGATCACCTGATGTTTTATTTTTGCATCATGTGCTAATGCCCATCCTTTTGTTCTGACTCTGTTTTGTTTAGCCATGTTAGGTTGTATTCTCTCCAAAAAAATAAGAATTGTGGTAGCAAAAAAAACCCAAAAAGTGAAATTGTTATTAAAAAGAGAGGAAAGGAAGGTGGTTAAGGGATATAACTGCATATATGTTTGAGTGTGTAGGATGGAAATCCATATTACTGAACTTTTGTTGGATCATTGATCAGCACTGTCTGCAATCTCATTGTATGAATGTTCACTTTACGTGCTTTAATTTCATAATTTGGACAACTATTTGAAAGATGACAATATGTAACCTATTAACTAGTGATGTCTTACTGTATTTTTTCCTTGAAATTCTGTATTATTTGTACCTTTTTACTGCTTTTTAAAATTTTATTTCCTTTCTTTTTTTCTCTTTAAATAAATAAAACAAGTGATAGTTATTTCATAAGCCTTTTTAATTTTTTTTATTTTAAAGAGAACAGAATAAAGCAAAACACACAAAGCAGATCAGAAAAGAATAATACAAGTAACCCAGGATTTCAAAATAAAACAACAGAAATCAACAGTGGCCAATATTTCTTTCTTTTTTAACAGTTCGTATTGTCACAGAATGAAGTTAAACAAGACAACATAGTACAAAACTAATCAAAAGAAAAGAATAAAAGCATTACAGGCCTTCAAAACCAGACAATAGGAAAATCAGCAATGGCTACAATAATATCTCTTATTCTCTTCAAAGTAGCTGTCCATACCTTCACATATTAAATTAAATAATGCAAAACAGACTAAAATCAATCAAAACAAAGAATGAAAGCTATACTGGCCTTCACAACAAGGTGATAGGAAATCAGCAAGGGAAACCATAATGTCCCATTTTCTTCCAAGTAGCTGTTCTTACCATCACACACAATAAAATCATTCTTATAAATTCTTTAGGAGAATTTCTAGACATATATAGGTCCGTACATGTATATCTGCCCTTCTTGCATTAGAGAGAAAAACCAAATCCAAAACAAAACAAATTACTAGAAAAATGAAAACCAAAAGAGACAAAAAAAACCCCACAACAAAGAGCTCAAAACAATGATGATATCGGTCCTCAAAACAAGGTGGTAGGAACATAACTGAGGTTGCTATTTTGCATAGTTATCTTCAAGGAGCTACTCAGATTACCAGATATAAACATGCAAAGTCGATCCAGTCTTATAAATGTTAACTGCTTAGTTCAAAAGAACTAAAAGAATCAGGAGCACAATCATCTTAGCTATCTTAAGTGCGTACATACACACTTAAAACTTCTTTTCTTTTTCCTTTTTTTCTTCTTTTCCCTCTTTGACTTATTTTTTCCTCTTTGAGCAGTTTCTTACCCTTTCACAATATTTATTGAAGATTTTGTATCTAATTTGCTCTTTCTGTTTCTCATACTAGGAAGACAATGTAGTATTTACACATGCGAGTTTGATTCATTTCACTTATGAATATGCTCTCAGGTCACATCCATTTACCTATAAAAGCATCAATGTAATCCTGCTTTACAGTTGAGTAGTATTCCATTATATAAACATCACATCTTTTTATCCATTCCTCAATTAATGGGCAACAAGTTTATTTCCAAGATCTGGCTCTTACAAAGTGTGCTGCTATAAACATGGCTGCACATATATCACTGTGCTATGATGTTTCCAGTTCTTCTGGGAATATGCCTAGAAGTGGAATAGCTGTGTCAAATGGGACTTCCAATCCCAGCTTTCTGAGGAAACAACAGACTGACCAACACAATAGTTGCACCACTCTACACTCCCACCAACAGTGCAGGAGAGTTCCTTTTCCCCCCACTGTCTTTCCAGTATTTGTTATTGGTGATTTTCTTCATCCAGCCATTCTTTCTCACCATCAGGACCATCCCCTCTTTGTCACTGGCTTGTTCCTCTCTGCAGTCTGATCTTCCAGTGTTGGTGAATATCATTCTTTAATCCTCTTTTCTCTCCGGGTTTTACCATTCCTCCACCTAGAATTTCATGAACTTGGTGATTCTGAAGTGCATTTCCACTAAGCTGTCTTGTGAAGCTGTCTTTTGTCTAAATCTGATTTAGTTTATTCACATCATAATCTTTCTCACCTTCTGTATTTGCAGTCTTGGCTAATGACACCTTCCTTCCTGACAGACAAATCAGAATCCAGGGTCATCTCTCTCCATCTTCCCAATAGCCCACAAACTTCTGGGATTTTATTGCAGTAATTTTCCCCATTCGTCAAATCCTTCCCATGCCCCTTTCTCCTGGCTTACAGTGCAGCTCCCCGTCATTCAGTTTCTGTATTTTCCAACTGACCTCTCCATTGAAACTGCCCACTCCCTCACCTCTGTAAAATTAATACAATCATCACCGATGGAATGACACTCCAAATGCTAATCTGACTTTGATTTTCTTGCTTTTAATCTGCAAATACACTCTGCTACTGATTGGTTTTTGTAAGGGCTCAACTTTTTCTCCAGACGTGGTGTGATTCTGTGATTGTATGTCTTTCCAGAAGTAATTCTATGGTGTTACATTAAAACTTAGAGCTTTTATCATACAGAACTATTTTTCACCTTGCACAGCTTCTCTGTTCTAACACTTCTTATGAAGAACCATCATACTTTACTATTTTCTTTCTTTAATTTGAAACATTAGTGTTTCTTTTCCTATGACATAGGTATCTACTTTTTTCTACTAATTTTTGTATTTATTTATGTTGTTCTTTCAGGGTCTAGTATTTCCTTATGATATGTAAGACATCTTAAATTTGCAGAGAAGTGTCCCTAAATTCTACACTGAAAAGCATTTTAGGCACTACCATCAAATGCACTGCTCAGGTTCAGCTGATTTCTACCAGTAAATTTTTTATCTTTCCTATATTTTAATGCTTCTTTTTATAAAATCAAATATGGATTCAATTTTACATTTATATTTTCTTTTGCCCTTTGAAACAAATATTGGAAATTGAACCCTATTTGTGACCAGATGACTACAACACTCTATAAATTATAAGAAACAATAATTTTTTTTGTCTTCTTCCTTTTTATCGGTACCAGGGATCGAATTCACCACTGCCTGCTTACAAAGCAGGCGCTTATGCCACTGAGCTAAATCCCCAGCCCCAAGAAACAATACTTTTTAGTTAGATGAGTGGACGAGTTCCTGTAATGGTAACCCTACGTGAGGAAGAAGAAGGATAGTTGCAATTTCGAACCTGGTTGTGCAAATTAGTGATTTAATGAGACCCAGTCTCAAAGATACTTCAAAGTTCCAGCATAAAGAAAAGCTTTACTAGTTTTTATAAAGAAAACACAAATAAAAACTCTGGTAGAGTACAATGGAAAATTAATACACTCTCTAAATTAAGAATCGTAAAGATAAAAATGGTCTTAAAATATGTTGATAGTGACACTGAAATTATTTCTAAAAAGAATAAAAGTGTTAAAATTAGCAATAAGATTTCAAGTAACATACAAAGTTACTTTTGAAATTCAATATTTAGTTTTTGAAGTTGTCTAAGGTATAAGAAGATTTCTAATTGTTAATATTGTATTTTATTCACATTCAATATTAATGGAACAAAAATACTCAAAAATGAGACAAATTTGAAAAGGTCAGTAAAAAGAGTTGTGAAAATATTTTGGCTAAACTATATACATGGGTCAGTGCGAAAAGTACTTATAATTGACCTAGCCAATTTTGTTCTGAATTAACCCAGTATTAGTAACAAAATTGTGTGACTTCAGAAATTAGTTATATAGAGAGAATATTATTTAAATAAAACTTTACTTGCCTTTACTTTGATACATGATGTTAATGAAAATGCTAGCAATTATAAAGTGATTAATGAAATAATAAAAATACCCTAGAAAATATTATTTAACCAGTTCTAATTCACATTTGACTACATAATAAACTACACAAATGAAAATCAATAATTCTTTGTTGAAGAGACTGGGGCTGTAATTCAGTTAAATATATTTGCCTAGCTACCTTATAGGTTTAACAACTAATTGGTGATTTTTTTGCTTTAATGTGCATGAATGATTTTAAATAAATATTATATCCTGAAAATGTGTAGCAGGAGTAATTTCAAATAAATGTATTGGTCAGTAAGACATTTTTAAACTTGGAGGGGTTTGAGACATGATGGTAACGTCACAATGAAGACTGATGTACCTAAAGAGCGGACTTTCTCAGCAGTTTCTTTTTATGATGTCTTTTCTTACACATCCGATCTTCTTAATGTCCTGCATCCTGGCAGTATAAGCGGCACACTGGGAAAAATCAGAAAAAAATTATTTTGAACATTTATTTCCAATCCAAATGGAGCTTTGACTCATGCTGCTCATAAATTTCAATATTCTTCTCTTTCAGGCAGCTGTAACTGCAAAGTGGAGCTGCCTTCACCTAACAGTAAGAGGACAGACACCACCTACCTTTTGTGGAGGTTCTAGCTGGATAGGGGAAGCACTCTCAACCAAATCCTGGAATAATAAATGAAAAAAAATCACATGATCAATCCCCCAAAACCAAGACAGAAGAAAAATGACTTGGAAAAAATTTCTCTATTAGTAAAACCCCACTGGCACATTAGACATTGGCACATAGCTAAGAAACTGAGTCTTCGAAAATATAGAGGAATATTCAAGTTGTCAAGAGAATAGGAAAAAAAATCTAATATTGACAGGCACTGTGGCACACTGACAGTTGGGGCCAGCACTCGGACAGTTGGAACCAGGAAGATGGAAAGACCAAGCCCAACCTGGTCAACTTCCTGAGTTAGTGATACTGTCTACAAACAAAACAAACAACAAGTTGTAGATGTGACTCAGTGTCAAGGACCTCAGTTGAAGAGAAGCAAAGCAAGACATAATACACTGTGTATTTATAGTGTATTTACTAACATGTTATACAGCAAAATGATAATGAAAAGCATTTTCACATGCTAAATATTTTTTAAGCATTTCATTATTTTTACTGTCTTTTTAAATTGCCAAAACTCTAGAAATAATTCAGGGAATCCACTGTTTTAAGCTTTTAAATCTCATCAACCTAAAAAGTAACGCTTTTTTTCTGTTGGGTGAACAGATGTACTTCTGGTTCGCCCATAAATACAGGTCAGAGTTTCCAAGTGGCAGGACCTAGAGGGAGTTGTTTTTGTCAACCTTACGGGGGATAACCTTCCATCATTTTTGTACTTCTTTTAATTTTGACTCTTTTAGATCTTTGGTATTTTGTTACCTTTTTGAACGGTAACAAAGAAAGCAGCAGTGGGTATCAAATCTTAACAACAAATCTAACTATGTCAGCATGGATTCAACTGTGCAAACTATGCTGCACAGCTGAAAACAGCTAAGTGTCAGCAAAAAAGGCTTTCATTAAGTGAAAAACATCGTTTAAAAGTTCCTCAAGTGGAGGAAGACTTAATAAGTCTAGTATGAGTCTACAGATTCAACACAGTACCTGGCAATATTGCAGCAGCTACTTAGAAGAAATTAGATTGCTGATCTAAAATTTTCTAATTTTACAGTTTGTATCAAGTGTTTAGAAGTTTAAAAAGCAGTCTGGGCAAACATGAGCAATGAGTTGATTTACAGTACTAGATTCCAATTGTTTTCAAATCTATTTAGTGAAAGTGATTTCATATTGGTGTGAGGGTAAATCAATAACTGAGTTAAACCAGAGTTGAGATATCACTGAAGTATTTTTCAGAAAAATAACCAATTCAAGAAAATGGAGGGTTTTGTTTTGTTTTGTTTTTTGGGTTTTTTTTTTTTTTTTTTTTACCAGAGTTTGAACTCACAATCTTATGCTTGCCAGACAGGTGTTCATACCACTGAGCTAAATCCCTGGCACCAGATATATTTTTAAATAAATTATAAGGAGTAAAACATTTATGTGGAAACTAGATTTCAATATTCTTACCTCTATACGCAATAACTCATACCAAATGGCTCCAGAGATGTGATAATTACACATTTAAATCATTTTTCTAAACATACAGAACATGTTTTTGCACTCTTAAGGAAATGAGCAATGCATGTCAGAAATACTTCTTAGTAGAATATTAGGCATCAGTGAAATATCAGCTTAACCTCACTGAAATATTTTGCTACCATTAGTATGCTTCACAGCAAAAGATGGAGTGAACAAAAGCAAATGATTAAACAAACATGTACCTCTAATGATATCTCAATAAGAGAAATCAAGAATTCTTGGAATCATTTTACCTATATTAGACAAAGTAAGATATCACTCTAATTCAGGGTGTTGCTATAGGTGATATACAGAATAGCAAAGAAAGATTTACCCTGCAACACTGTATGTTGAAACATTTCTTACTAATTTTTGAGTTTTAGGGAAGTGATATCTAAGCCTCACCATGAGCCTTCAAGGAAACTTCAAACTTGTACTTTTGGAAAATGCTGAAATTGTTAGGTGTTTTTTAACTCTCTAGAAAGACTAAAAGCACTTTGCATAGAAAAGTTGACCTGAGATGTTGCAGCGGGACAAGATGGAATACTATGGTTTTGATGTAAAAAGACCACCCAAAATTTCCTATCTTCAGAGGTGAGGCTTTGGGGGACTGCTTGTAGCCTGGGGATGCTATGCTAAGAAGGGAGCTGAGCTATTGATGAGATGATAGTTGGTTAGAATATTAGCAGCTGGGTTTAGTGGGAGGTGTGAGTCACAGAGGGCGTGACAGGGAAAGGTATTCCCTTGTCCAAGCCTCCCCCTTTCTTGTTCTCTGCTTCCTGCCATCATGAGGACGATGATGAATACCTTTTCATGCTGACCATGCCCCCACCATGATTTTGTGCTGCGGAGTAAGTCAGCACAGATGGGACCCTCTAAAACCAGCAGCCAAAATGAACCTCGCCTTCCACTGTTGGGTATCAGGTATTGTGTCCCAGCAAAAGGAATGTGACAAAACCAGACTATTGGAACCAGAAAAGTTCAGTCATCGATGTGACTCTTCCTGACCATACAATTTAGAAGACACTGGAACTGATCTGTTGGAGAAATTTGGAAAGGTTTAGAGATGCTGGCCTGAGAAGCCTTTAGAATGCTAAAGTAAAGAGTCTGATAAGCAGTACTGGTGATAAATCAGAAGGGCAGAAAGCTATAAGAAATAAGGACAGAACAAACCAGGACTGGGAGGTTTCAAATGGACATGGAAATTCCATTGGAAAAGGAACTGGAAGTGGCATCCCTGCCAAGAACTTGTCTTGAGTTTTTACATGAACTAAAATTTGGAAGGGCCGACTCTAAAGGTGGTGAGCTAATTGAGAGGCCAGAAGAGGTTTCAAGCCAGCTCCATCACCAAGCTGCAGTTTGTGCTGGGTGCACCTATCCAGACACCACACTGAGAGTCATCAGCAAAGGACAAGGATGAATGACTTGAAATTTGTTCAGTTTAGCAGTCAAGTTAGTGTCAAAGAGAATGGGTCTGCAATAAACATAATACTATTAAAAAGGAGCTATGTCATTTTAATAATTGATAATCCTACCTTAACACATTATTTTGATTCAATGTCTACAGTTTAAATTGACTTTCATTCTCAGTATGTACGCCCTGGGTTTGAGGAAAAAATGAATGATACATACATCATTGTAATATGACACGGAGTACTTTCATGGTCCTAAAATTACTCTGTTCCTTCTATTTATCTCTTCTGGAACCATTCACCATTCTTCCTCCTCCACCTCTCTCTCCCTTCTTGTCTTCTTTAGCAACCATTTTTTACTTGACTCCCTCCACAGTTTTGTTTTTCCCAGCCCACTGTAGAGTTGGAGTCACACAGTATGTACCCTTTTGTTGTACTGATTTCTGTTACGTAGTACTAATCACCTGAGTTTTCTCTGTGCCTTTTACACTTTGCTAGTTCCCTTCACTTACATGTCGGCTGACTAATATTTCCCTGTTTGGATAGATGTAAGTTTATTCCTTTATCTGCAGAAAACCATCATGGTTGAGTCTCATTTTGGGCTATCACGTATAAAGTTATTGTAAACACATGTGTGCATTTTTTCCAAAAAATTGATTTAAACACTAAAGAATTGGCATACTAAAACATGAGGTAAGTATGCTTATGTTTGTAAAAATACACCAAAGTGTTTCCTCAAGTAACTGCAGTGTTTTACGAGGACCACCATTCTGTTTCTGATGCTCGTCCACATGTGCATTGAAATTTGGTGCTTTTGCTATTTTGATTTGTGGTTATTTTAGTGGAAATGCAATGATAGGTCTTACAGTTTTCTTCTACTATTCCTTCACGATATTTGGCCTGACTAACTTTTCTATATGCTTATTTGGAATCTGTGCATCTTTTCTGTTTTCTACTAAGATATACATGTCCTATTGTAGGCTTACTTCTACTTTTATGTTTTGGCATTAGGTTTAATGCACATTTATGGATGTGTGCTTTTAAGTTTTATTTCATTTTCAACTGACATAATTGAATGCATTTTTGTGTACAGATATTGTTTTCTGTATAGAAAGTATGTGCAGATATTGCATTGTGTGTATACTATGAACCAAAATTACTGAAACTATGAACATAGGACAATACAATTTATGTCTATTTTCCTACATATTTTATGAATTTATGCTACTTTAAATGAGAAACTTAAGTAGTTTTCTTCAGTATATTACATGGATTCTTTTCATTTTGCTGGTGTTGATTTTCACTGAAAAGAAAGTTTTAGTATTAGCTCATTTCATGTTATCAATTTTTTAACAAACACGCCTTTAGTACCATATCTAAAACTACAACCAACTCTGGGTCAGCTAGATTTTTCATTATTAAATTCCAGCTGTCTTGTATTTTGATGCCTATATTTAGATCTGTAATTCAGTATTAGTTAATTTTCAGCATGGTATATCTTCTGTATCTAAATTCACTTTGCTGCTTGTGCTTATATATTTTAGTGTTACTTGGCTAAAAACTATCCTTTGTGTATTATATGGTCTGCATTTTTCTCAAAGAACATTTGACTTTATTCATGGGTGTATTTCTGACCTCACTATTCTATTGCTTTTGCATATTTATTATATCTATTTATCAATATCACACTGGCATATGATGTGTTGCACTGCTTATAAGTGTTTGAATGCCATAGTTTAAAAATAGGTCTTATGGTGAGGTAATGTCGGTTCTCCAATATTCTTATTATTGTTCAATGCTATATTAACTCTATAAGCTTGTTTTCATCTCCATATATTCAGAGTCATCATACTGATGTCTGCAGAAGTGAAATCTTGTTTGAAATTACACTGAATCATATTTGGAAGATACAACATTTTGAAATATTGAAACTTCTCCTCTATGAACAAGAATTCCTTCTCATTTATTTGGTAACTTGATTTCACTTTGGTTTTGTAGTTTCTTTAATACAGATGTTGGACTGAACAAGGTATCTCATTTTTGAGGATCTTAATAATAGAAATGTTACTGTAGTTTGAAGTTCCATTTGCCATTCCCTATGAAAGAAGGGACTTCTGTATGAGTTCTGATCAGAGTAGAAATTGAACATTAAAATTATTTTTTTAAAAAATCACAGTTCAATTTTAATATACCTAATGATATAGGCGATTCTTTTTAAGGAAACAAGAGGCATTTATGGTAACCATTGTTGATAACCTTGTATTCTGTTTTTACATCATGTGCTATGTCTATTCTTTGTTTTGACTGACTGCTTTGTCATAATTGGTTTTGTTCTTTTCCAAAAAAAAAGTAATAAGAACTATGGGAGTAATAAAATCCAAAATGTGTAAATTGTTGTAAAAAAGAGAGGAAAAACAAGTGCTCTAAAGGATACAACTGCAAGTGTGTTTTAGGTGTGTAAAGATAGATGACCATATTACTGAGGTTTTGTTAGAGCACTGAACACAACTGTTTGCAGTCTCACTGTTTGCATGTCCACACTGCATGCTTTAATCCTGTATCTTGAACAACTATTTCTAAGATGACAATATGTAATCTATTAACTATTGATTTCCTACCTTTTTTTTTGTAATTCTGTATTACTTGTACCCTTATACTGTTTTGTTTTTCTCCTTTAAATTAAAAAAAAAAAAACATTAAAACACAACTACAACTAATTCCTCACAAAATACTTCTTTTACATGTGACCCACTTGGTATGATTCTTGTCACCTTCTGAAGCATATCAGGACGTAGTCTTTCATAAATTTATGAGGTGTGATCCAAATTCCTGTGACCTGGTGCTGAGTTCCATTCCATGGAAAGGCAGGCCACAAAAACGTCATGGTGCGTCATTTTCACCCATGTACTTGGAAAATCCAGCACCAAGCTTTTTTGTTCCCTTCCAAAATCAAAACAATATTCAAGTTAAACATGTTGTGTAATTCTAGTACATAAAAGTAGCCACAAGAGTGCAAAAAAATAAAAACAAACCTCCCCACACACACACAAAAGGGGGCTTCTAAAAGTGTTTCTGAAAATGGCAAGAAAAATGGGATGTGAGTTTCAAGTAAGAGAAACATTTCAAGAGAGATGTGTGGCAATGTGTCTTTAACTGGGGACATTTATAAAAATTAAATATATACACGGATTTTGATCACATATGAAATTTTCTCAACTTCAGTCAGCTTAATTTTTAGTTTCTGCATCTTAATTTTTTATTTTTTCCTTCACTTCAATCACTCTTCCCTTCTTATCTCTGTCTCTTTCCTACTTGCATAAAACTATTTCCTTGCTTCCTGTCATCTATCTCTTATTCTGTTCTTTAAGAACTCTTTACAAGAGTGGAGTTCTCGGTTCTTCATCTGGGATTTTCTATAGATCCCTCAAGATGAGTTCCTATGCTCCTGAGAAATAGCTGTGTGAAATCATAGCCATGTAACCTATTAGTTCCCAGACAAAGTTTCAGGAGTTTCAAAAGTGGTGATGAACAGAGCCTCACATTACTTATAGAATAATCTTCAGGTTCATTGACTCCTATCATGGCAAAAGAATTTTTTATATATTTTAATAAAGGACAAAGGATTTAATAGGCAGGAAATGTCAAAGTATGCACACAAAAATGAGTGTGCTCTCTATTGGCAAGGAATGGTTTGGAACTTAAAATACATATGTATCTTTGCCTGTTTAAACAGTGAAATTTATGAATGCATAGGAAATTACATCTTTGTCTTTATTCATGGGAAAGAAAATGTGTTACTTATAAGAAACTGACACATTTTACAAGGAAAGGGCATAAGCTCTAACAATGAATTTTGCAAAGTTGCATCAACAAATCCACTCTGTGAAGAGCAATGAGGCGCTCAGGTCCAGAGCAAGATCAGAGTGGCCCATCTTCCTTTGTAGATCCTCTCTCTCTCTCTCTCTCTCTCTCTCTCTCACTCATTTTCTAATAAATGCACATACAAAGGAACAGCGAGAGACAAAAGATAGAGACAGAGAAAGCAAGAGAGACAAACACACATCACACAGCATATCTTGAGAGCTCTGGGAGATGTGGATGATGTGAACTAACAATTTGGGTGAAGCCCATATGCATCATGTGTGTGCATCTGACCTTATGAGTCAAGGTCAAGCCCTGGAAACTCCTGGTAAGTGCTATCTTTCTTTGGATACCAGAGCTATCTTTCTTTGGAAAGATCACTGATGTGGTTTAGATCTGAAATATTCCTTGAAACTCTCATGCACTCAGAGATGGGACTTTTAGAATGATAATAGGTTAGGAGGGTGCTATACTTATTAGTGGATTCATCTAGCAATAAGTTCAGCTGCTGAGTGTGCTGTTAGGGGGTGGAGCTTGGTTAGAAGCAGGTGACTGGGGACAGGACTTTAAAGGGTGGATCTTTCTCTGCAGATTCCTTCTTCACTCTATTTCCAGGCATCCATGAGATGATCATCTTTTCCTCTCTCAGGTCCTTCATCATTTTCTTCCTGCGATGAAATTACCTGACTATGAAGCACCTCCTCTAAACTATATGAGGCCTAATGAAACCTCCTTTTCTTAAAGTTGTAGGGTGGACTATTTTTCTCTCCATGCTACAATTTGACTACCAGCCACAGTATTGAATATAGAAAAATCAGACAAAAGGATATGGATACGTATTATGTTGTGAATACACCTGTGATCAGCTCTATCATCTGTAAAATAAAATTCTTTCAGGACCCTGGTGAGTGAAAACAACTACAGATTTCCATGTATAAACTCAAATATATAAAATGCTTCTAAGAAAATATTTATGAGTAGCGGACCGTGTATTAAAAATTAAATCTTCTCTATTGTAATAATGGCACATGAGGAACCACCCAGAGACTCAATCGTGGGGAAGATCAGATTTTGTTCCTCTACTTACAAGGAGGCTGATATTTGGGGGACTAACAATGACTATCTAAAGGGCAGACTGCATACAGAAGGTTTTAAGGTTGGAGGTGCAGTTTCAAGGAAATCTCAAATCAATGTGGTATGAGCTTAAGGTGTAAGGGAATCAGGTCAGGTGGTACACAGAGTTGGCATCTGGGGACTGCAGGGTGACCTTAGTCCCTCATTAAAATTTCACTGCCCTTGCTTCTTGTTTACCACATGCAAACGTTTGCCAGCAATGCGGAGTGCATTGTTTGTCATGGACAGCCCAAGACACTCTGAGGTCACACTCAGGCCAATCATGAGATCTAGAAATAAAGAGTTTCTCAAGCAGGATCAGGAGGCTTCTTCTGACCTGTCTGAGGCAGGACAGTGGGGAAGGAAGAAAGCACAGGATAGATCAGTCAAAGGTTTTTGTCTCACTTTCCCTCTGACTGTGTCACTGTGGGTTATACAAAGCTACGGCCACTGCCGTGGTCTGCCCCACAGTAGTAGACATTCTCATCTTCTTCTTGAACGTTCTGGATGGTCAGGTACTGATCCAAGCCAGAGCCTGAGACTGAGAATCGGTTGGAAATTTCATTCCCCTTGGATCCCACAATATCACTAGTACCCACTGACATCACAAACCGAGGGCCCTTCCCCTGGCTCTGCTGGAACCAGTCCACATAGTAATTACTGTAGCCACTGCTCAGGGTACAGGTGAGTTTTAGTGTCTGTCCCAGGGAGGCAGATGCAGAGGGCAGCGGAGTCAGCACAGGCTGGGAGAGAGACCCTGGAAACACAGACCTCCATTAAGAATCCCTTTGGGAGACAGGGGAATTGTTCTAGGAGGAAGGAAAGGGCTGGAGTCTGGGTGTGGCAACAATGTTCTCTATGGAGACAGTGACCATTTGCCCCATCTCACCTGTGCAGAGTGTGGTGATGTGAAGAAGAGAGGAGCCCAGGCCATGGTAGAGATGCTCCAATGCTGAGTCCTTCAGTTCCCAAGCTGAGCCAGGGATCTCAAGTCTTTTAATTCTCCCAGTTTATTACTGGTCAAGGTCTAGATGCAAATCTTCTCCTTATCAAAATTAGTATTAACAAGGGTGGTGGCTAAAATGGATAATTTACATGGATTTGGTTTCTACAGACTGCCTCCCCATGTGGCCAGACATTATCACCCTCTTGACTCATAGGAACCTTGCTGAGTCCCTTAACCACAGCTTTCGTGCAGGGCTCAAGTGTGTGTACTTCAAACACTTCATCTTCCACTTCTGAAATTCATGTTTTCTCCACAATTATTTTTCTTCTCTGGTGCAAATGTTCTGAATGGTCAAGAACTGATCCAAGCAGGAGCCTTATCCTGAGAATCCGTCAGGGATTCCATACTCCTTGAATCCCACAATACCACTAGTACAGCATACATCAGAGAGACATTTCATAAGGAAGTCAATTCAAGAGGACAACAATCATAAGTATTCATACATCTGATGACAGAACTCCAAAATAAAGCAAAGCTAATAAAACTAAAGGGATCTATAGACAAAAACCATCAAAGATATCAGAGATTTGAACATATTAATGAACTTAACTTGCAGACATTTATAGAACACTGTAACTACTACAGAATATGTATTCTTTTTAAATTAAACTCTTTTATGATACTTGTAGAAACAAATGCAGTATAAGAAATACAGACTTCATGCACTCTAGCAGGTAAGGTGGAATACCCATTTGAAAGGGGCATAGTGGAACATTCTCAAATGATTGGAATGTTTTTATTTGTTGATTGGCTACATGGTACATACATCTACTGAAACAAAATTATATACTTTATGTGTAATTTACTGCATGTCACTTGTACTTCAGTGTTTAAAAATGTAATCCTTTACCAATGCTAAGAATCTAGTATCTGATAAATGTCACGAAGGGATTCTGAATATGTGGAATAGAGAACTCTAAATAATCAGACCACTACTTATTGTTATAAATAACTCTGGCATGTATTTCAATCCTAGGAGGCAGATATTATTATCTAAAACTTTTTAGTTGAGATAACTGAGATTGTAAAGAGCTAAAACCACTGCCCAAAGATAAATCAAATCCTGTACTATCTAATTTCAGATAAAATCAAATGTACTAATTTTAGATTTCAATTTCTTTTCACCTAAAAGTCTTCTGTCTATAATGGTCTCTCTTTAAAAAGGTCTTTCTTGAGCCCAGCCCCTGCATTCATGGTGGCCGTCATCGGGATTCTCCTGCAGGCAGCCTCACAGGCTGGGATAAGCAGCCAACCCAGTCCCCATGAACATTAAGGCTACCCTTGGAACTCAGCGTGTGAGGGCAAAAGAAACAGCCAGCCCCATCCCCACAAGTCTGCAGCCCCATCATCACCTTCAAGGCCTTGTAGCCTGCACAGGACAAGAGAATGAGCCAGTAATGCATTGGGGAAGCCAGCCCCGCTCCCCCCCCCTTCCCTGGGTTAGGAGAAACCCAGGTGCCTGATCCACCCTCCTACACTGTGGATGAGTAGCCAAATGAGGAAGGGCCTGAGACTTCACAACCTGCTTCTCTGGAGGAACCCAGGAAAATGTCGAGACAAAGGAGCAAAAGGCAATCTCAGACCTCCAGCCCAAACAGAACAAGTCCAGGAAACATGGACATAAAAGAAACAGGAAGTTGTACACCTGAAATTTCTGGGATGATGGCAACTGAAATAAAGAAACTACTTGACGAGACTGTAAAAGAAATCAGAACAGGGGCTGGAGATTTAGCTCAGCGGCATAAGCGCCTGCCTTGCAAGCAGGCAGTCGTGAGTTTGATCCCTGGTACCGATAAAAAGGAAAAAGACAAAAAAAAAGAAATCAGAACAGAAATAATATCTCAGGTAAAAGAAGTGACAAACATAATAAAAGGGTTGCTGAGCGTATCTAAAGAGGACATAGATTAAACGAAAGAGGAGCATAGGAGAATGACAGAAACCTTTAATGAACAATACAGAGAAGAATTGGAATGCATGAAACAGATTCAAAGAGATATCCAAGAAATTAAAAACTCCACTGAAGGCTGGCAAAACCACTTGAAAGAAACTGAAGATAAATGTTCAGACCTCGAAGATAATTTGGCAGCTAGTGATTGCAAAAGGAAAGCTTTTTTTTTTTTTTTGAAAGATCTCTTAAAAATAACAAGGGACCAGGAAATAACAATTCGACAGCTGCAAGATGACACAAAGAAAAATAATTTAAGAGTGACAGATGTCAGCAAAAAAGCAAGAGTCACCATATATGACACAGGACTATTTATAAAAGGAATAGCAGAGAACTTTCCACACATGAGCAAAGGACCTGACATGCAGGTAAGTGAGACACGTAGAACTCCAACTAGCCATAACCAAAATAAATCTACACCCAGACAAACAACAATCAAAATCCCAGAAATTCAGCCCCAAAACAGAATATTAAAGTCTGTTAGAGAAAAGAAACATTACCTATAAAGGAAAAACCATCAGAATCATGACAGACTTCTCAACCCAAACCATCAACTCAAGAAAAGATTGGAGTAAAGTATTTATTGTCCGTCACCCACAGACTGCATAAGAAAGATAAAACATTTTTATACAATGCAAAGCTACTCACTAGAAAGAAGGATAACCACGAAGCTCTTGCAGGTAAATGGAGGCAACCTGCAATCTTGCTCTTGGGTGAAATGGTTCAGACTCACATAAGTGAACATCATGTTACCTCTTTAGTACAAAAAAACTGAAGGAGTTAGTGGGATCCAAAATGTACAACAGATATTGTGAAAATGAAAGTCTGAAAAAGGAGGAAATGTCTAAAAAAAGAAGGTGGTAGCTATTGTTAATACTCTATTATCTTATTTTAAAGTCCTGTATCATTTTCCTTGTCTTGTTTTGATTGGTTTTATTCAGTTTCGTTTGACTTGATTTTATTATATTTGATGATATGGGCATTTATTGTGAAGATAATAAGATATATTATGGTACTCATTGTTGATTTCCTATTATCTTGTTTTGAAGTCCTGTATCCCTTTCACTGTTTTGTTTTGACTAGCTTTATTCTGTTTTATTTTATTTGGTTTTAGTCTCTTAAAAATAAAAACAAAAAAGCTAGGTGCCGTGGTGCATGCCTATAATCCTAGCACTTGGGAGGCTGAGGCAGGAGGACTGTTGTGAGTTCAAGACCAGCCTGGGCTACAAAGTGAGCTCAAGGCCAGCTTGAATGCACAGTGAGACCCTGTCTCAAAAAGACCAATAAATAGGGGCTGGGGATTTAGCTCAGCGGCATAAGCACCTGCCTTGTAAGTGTGTGGTCATGAGTTCAATCCCCGGTACCGATAAAAAAGAAAAAGAACAAAAAGACTAATAAATAAGTACATAAATAAATAAAATATCCATATAAACAAATACATAGATAATTTCCTTCTATTTCACTCTCATTTCTGCCAGATAGTAAAGGCTACTTTCTGACAGTCCTGACTGCTCTCAGGCCTCTTCTGCTCTTGCCTTGCCTACTGAAGGGGTATGCAGCATAGTCTCATCATTTCTGTTTCACGTTATTTCTCCTTTGGCTTCTTCTCAAATACTACACCAAGGGTATCTCTTATAGTCCACTAAGTATCACTAAGAATGTCACAACTTTCTTCTCTCTTGTAGTTCTCTATTTTGGTACTGGAGATTGAAAGCCAAAATCTTTGTACTGAGCTACACCCCAGCCCTTTCTTTGGTTTTTATTTTCAGACAGAGACTAAGTCACTAAGTTGCCCACAATGGGCTCAAACTTAAAATCTTCCTGCCTCAGCTTCCCAGAGGACTGGGATTACAGGCATTCGTCATCATGCCTAACTTCATTTACAAATACTGTTTTTGAGCTTTGACGAACGTTTACCTTAGTTCTAAAATGGTATTTGTTGGTTTTTTAGGGACTGCAATATCACTCACTTTGTTTTCTCTACCAAAATTAATAAGATATCATATCTAGATGCAGTTTATCAAGAGTAACAAGTTACAGGGAGGGAAGCTACTATGAACAGGGAAACTGTCACCATAGAAGTCCAGTTTTCTGGGGAGCAATTTGTACTGAGTTCCCTTGGTTGATTCTGTTAGTCTGATTCACCCCTACCCACCCCTCCACCAAAAGCCAAGACAATATCCTTAAAAGCCAAGAAACAATATCAAGAAAGGTACAGAAAACACCAACATACCTGGGATTCTGTTGTCAGGAGTCCAGGAATCACTTCATCCTCTAAATTTTCTTCCTGGGTCTCACCAGTACCCTGAGATAGCAGAGCTGGGGAAGGAAAAGAACCATGAGACCTACATCCCTCACACGCAAAAACTGCCTGCAGATGCACCGGAAAGAGGCTTCTCTCTGAAAACACTGATAAAGGACCTTTAAGATGACTTCAGCGCAGCTGAAGCTTTCCCTTTATGAGGATGACCTACAGTGTACTGCTCTGAGCTTTCATATTTCCCAATAGCCAATGTGGGTCCAGATCTATTAAGCTACCCATTTGTTCAAAAATCCTCAAAGGCTCCTCACTGACAAGAGTAACTTAAAATCTTCACCATGGACTTCAAGGCATTCTGTGATCTGCCTGAGGCATAGTTTCTCAGTAATGGTCATCTCCAAACTTCCAGAATTGATTTGGCTGGTTAGGCAGCTGCCCTCTACCTCTCTCACCACTCCCTGTGTCCCTCCTGAAGCTGCATGGTCAGTGGAAAGGACAACTTTCCCCTTTAAGCCCGAGACATCATCTGTACCATAATCCTAATCCTCACGTAGACTAAATATTCCCTATTCTCTGAACCACTCCCCAAGATATCTAATTTTCCATCTTTTCTCTAAATCTTCTATTAAAAAAAAAAAAACCTAAAAGAGTTCTTCCAGGTCATTCAGTGCTACATGTGTTATGAAAATCTCTCCTATCTATGCAATCAGAAGAAAGCTTCCAGTCTCCTGTATTCAAAAACTGCTTTTCTTAGACTACCTTCTATTATTTCAATCTGACTATCTAGATCAATTAATAATTAGCATTAGACAAACTTATTCATTTTTCCATCTGTCGAGATACTGTACTAAAGTCCCGGTCTGATACTGCTAGAACACAACAAAAATACTGGCGGATTACAAAGCATTAAAGATAGCACAGCAGACATAAATTCCCTTGTCTATTTACTCCTCACCAGACCATTAAATCAAGTGTGGTCCTGGACACAAGACTAGTATTTTCTTTCATAGTTCTCCCCTTTCTAAAAGCCACCAATGTAACTCTTCTGTTATGGTTTAAATTTGAAAAATTCCCCAAAACTCATTGTCTAAAGGCTTGATTACAGGCTGAGATCATAATCTGAAGGCCTTATTGGGAGGTGAAGCAGGAGATGAGGCGTAGTTGAGGGGAGATCATGGAGTTTTCACCTTGGGAACCACGTCTGGTCCCCAGCCCCGTCCTTTATAGCTTTTCCCCTCTCTCTGGTTCTTGGCTCTATGAGGCAAGCAGTTTTCAACTGCCATATCCTTCTGCCATGTTTCTGGCTTGCCATAAGCCTAAAAGCAATGAAGGCAGTTGAAACTTTTGAAAAGTTACCAAAATAACTCTTTCCAGTTTAAGATGTTTGTATCAGGTATTCTATCACAGTGACAAGATGATAACATCCTCTAAAAGCCTGGCCCCCAATTTCCTCCCAAACGAAATCACCTCCATAAAGGTTCTTTCCACAGTGAGAACTCTTCCCCCCTCCTTCGGTTTACGCTCACCTTCTCCTTGAAATATTTTAGTCACGTCTTCTCACAGGGGTGCCCCTTCTTTGGCCTTCCTTGGATGGTGCAACTTCACCCACATGTCGACCTCAGTGGGCAGGGTAATCAGGAGCTGTTGTGGCATGATGATGCCAGCCTGACCAAGCTTGTCCACTTCAGGTGAGGAAATTGTTCTGGCCTCTGACAAGAGGCTTCACAGCTAGATGGGCCCCTAAGATGACAACTGCTGCCCTCAGGAGTTTGGCACGTTCCCTGCAGCGTGAGGACCACGGGGCTCCTCGAGGTTGGTGTGACTTTCAACAACTCTGAAAAACTCAGGTTGTTTCTTTGAGAGGTGGGCTGTTTTAAGTACATGCCTCTATACTGTTCCAGAGGAGCAAAAGGCAGGAGGGGAGCAGTCCAGAAGATCCTGTCATATGTCCAGAACTCCAGAACCTGCAAAAGATATAAAACAAAGATGCAGCATCAACCCAGGAGTACAAAGTACGATCTAAAAATATGATTAATGTTTAAACTTTTTTTAAAAAATTAGAAGAAAAGATTTTGCAACCAGACCCTTCAAGATATTCCCCTTTCCTTCAAACACTTATTCCATCATTCTCAGTATTTTCTGAAACATTTTCTTTCATGAGTGTCTTTATCTGGGCTATCATGGTTGCCTTGATGTCCTGAGTCAATTCAAAACATTTACCTTTCATGGTCATTTTGACTTTGGGAGGAAGAGCCGAAGTTGCATGGTATCACATCAGTGAACAAGGTGCATGAGGACATACAATGTTTTTACACACCTGCCTTTCTCTTGAATGGCATTTGACAGCAGGATTCATTGTGTTTTTTGTTACACTTTATAAAAACACCAAAAGATTTGCATAACTGCTTCAGAATGGTAAGAATGATGGGATGAGTGTGTTTGAGGTGACAGGGAGTATTCAGGAGTATTAATGGCAATGTGTCTTTTACTGTAATAAAGTTATAAAAAAAGAGGTATTATTTTGATCACATGTCATATAATCAATTTACTTGGCTACAGCTTTATCTCCCAGTTGCATATGTATGGACACAAAGACACATAAACACCCAAAGATGTAAAAACAAGCGCAAGCTCTGCCTTGTCTTCCCATCTTGTGAGCTACAGGCATCTTCTGCCTAGAGACGGACTTGAGAGTTAAGCAGACAGGCTTTCAAATCAGATGGTTGGAGTCCTGACACTTGTACCTAGAAGCTGTGAGGCTAACTCTCTGAGCTTCAGTTTCGTGATCATCTATGAGATTACATTCTTTTATACATTTTTGATGGTACAGGAGACAGAACCCAGGGCTTTTACACTGAGCTACCCCACCCGTTAAGTTTTTTTAAAATTTGAGACAGTGTCTCACTAAATTGCATAATATGAGCTCAACCTTTTCGACCCTCTAGCTTCTGCCTGCCAGAAAGCGGTAATTACACGTGGGAAGCGCTATGCTAGTTTAAATTTTTTTATTTTAATGCAATATTATAGCATTACCTTTAAATTATTTTTACAAAAATAACTAGAAATCTGAATTTAAATTTCACTTCGCATATCTCAACTGATGGAAAATCACCTAACTGCATTTTGGCCAGTACAAGGCAACTCACCACATCTGCTATTGCTCAACAGCTGGTCAAAAGAATCCTGGTTTCAGAAACGTTAAAACTGGGGGAGGAGGCATGTGCTCAAATGGAGGATACACAGTCAAGAGTTACTGCAGAATTGTCTACGGCCGGCAAACTTAAGAACCGCCCCAATCCATCATTTCTTCCAAGAACCGGCATCTAAGCAGACGGCGGCGCCGGCACCAGGTCCAGTCACGGTGACCCCACGGTCCTAGGGCCGTGGGAGGAAGCCGGGCTGACTTTCCGAAGTTTCTGGGGAAGGGGAAAGGGACGTGACTGCGGGCAACCTACAGATAGGAGTTCTGGTAAACAGACTGCCCTAGACGAGATAAAAAATCTGATTCTCGAAGCGCAGAAACTTCCCACTGAGGTGCAGCCCTCTTTCCGAAACAGCGACCGCCACGCCGAATTCTCCTCCGAGGGCCGGCCGGGGTCACAGCGCCGCTCTCCGCCCGGCTTTCAGGCACAGACCGCAGCGCCCGCGCGCACGCAGACCGCGCTCTGTCGCCCGAGGAGCCCTGGCCTCCCGACAGGACGGGAGTCTTCTCCAAATTTCCACCCAGGACCGCCGGGGCGGGGGGCTCTGGGCGGGGAATGGCAGGACGACCCCCACCGGGCCCCGCCAACCTGGGCGAGGACAGCGCGCCGGCCGACGCTCTAATGCCGGGCCGGCATCAGCGGCCAGGTCCACCTGAGCCCGTCAGGCCGCAGTCCGGCGGCGCCCGGCAGCTCTGCTCCGCTGTGGCGCCCTCCCGCCAGGCGCCCCCGCCCGCGCCCCGGCGGCCCCGGCTCGCCCAGCCCCACGCATCCCGGGTGGACGCTGCCCCAGGCTCTGTTTCCCGCTCTGCGCGCCCGCTGCCCCGCCCCGCCCCGCCCCGCCCCGCCGCCTCGGGGAGCGCGCGCCCGAGAACCCGGAAGCCGGAAGCCGCAGAGTTCCCAGCTCGCGCTCCCGGCATCCTTGATCCAGCGGCGGTGCCCGGCCTGGTGGCCCGCGTTCCCCCAGGGTCAGATGGACTTCGCAGTCGGCCGGCTGTGACGTGGGGAAGCTCGTCTCTGTCATCCATCCATCCATCCATCCATCCACCCATCGCCTCCCTTCCGGATTTCTCTTTCTGTACCTGCATAACTTCAGGGTCTCTGTGCTCCAAATTTCCTCTTCTTATAAGGTCACCGTCACTGGCCTGAGAGTGACACTGAGCTGCCCAATACAAACAGTGTACTCTCCATTGCTGACAGTAGCTTGCCCCTGGCAAACAAGAAACAAGGGCAATAAAGTGTTTAATGTAGGACTAAGGTCGCCCTACAGTCCCGAGGTCAGCTGTGTACCAACCAGGGATGATTGCCTACAGCCTTAAACGTAAACGTTTTTATCCAGATTTTTTGAGATTTCTTAAAGTTGCACCCCCCCAACCTTAAAAACGTATAATATATTCAGTCCTTGCCTTAGATCCTTGCTGACATTCTTTCTGATATCAGCCTGCCTGTAGGTGGAGGAGTAAAATCTGTTCTTCCCCACTGTGTCAGCCTCTGTGTGGTTCCTCATGTGCCGTTATTTCAGTCTCCTTACAGATTGGCACTAACGCATATCTTAATAAACTCATTTTAACTTAATTACCTCTTTATAGAGCTCTCTCTGAAGAGTCACATTATTAATGGGGATCAGTGCCATCATATGAATTTGATGGGAACAAAACTGAGCCAATTACAAAGCATCTAAAAGATGACAAGACAATAGGGAATTATCAGACCAAAATCCGAAAAATCAGCAACCAGGAAGATAATCCAACTGGAGACAGAAAACCTTTTAGAGGAAGAGAGAGAGAGAATGAGGATGGTGGTGTACAGATGTAATCCCAGCTACTGAGAAAGCCGAGGCAGATGGATAGAAAGTTCAGTCCAGCCTGAGGAATTATAGAGACCCTGTTTCAAAACAAAACATAATAAAGTAATAAAAGGATTGAGGGTGTACATCAACAGTAGTACACCTCTGAGTGTACTCCACAGTACCCCCTCCAAAAAAGAGAAAAGAGGAAGGCACATAACTAGTGCGAAGTGATATGAGACCCTTCTTACAATAGAGGAGCCCCATATAGGATAAAGGATGAATTTAAAGTAGAACCACTTCATAGAAATTTGTAGTCTAGAATAAAATTTCGTGTCTTAAATCATGATGTTAGTGTAAAGTGGTCTCTGGCTGCAATGCCACCAGGTGCCTGGCAAAAGCAAAATCAAAGATCTGAGGAAAGCATTATAATCATAGCCTCCCAACCAATTCTTCCAACATGTGCTTAGCATGCATGAGGTCCTGGGATTCTTTTTTTTTTTTTTTTTTTTTTTTTTTTTGGTTCTGGGGATTGAACTCAGGACTGCACACTTGCAAGGCAGGCGCTTGTGCTGCTGAGCTAAATCCCCAGCCCCAAGGCCCTGGGTTTCAGTACACACACACACAAACACATGCACACAGAAACAGGTTTGAACAGGTTTATTGAGGTGAGGAAGTGGAAGGAAACATGCAACCCATGGCTGCTTCAACTGGGATATGGGGTATGAGACATATGTTACCTTTGACCAGGGTGGTATTTAGGGTGGGCATTGATGACTCACAAGGAACTGTTTGGAATTTTCTTTGTGCACAGGAAGGGAAAAGGGAAGTGTTGTACTCTAAGAAAATAGCTTCATTATATGTGCATTATAGCAAACCTGTAAAGTGGCTTACTAAATGTGTTTGTTTTATCCTTTTTCCCTAACTGATATGTTAAGTGACCTAATTGATATGTTGAGCAACACTCTCCTCTGTAAAGAATTGCACGAATCTCACCTAATTGATATGTTAACCATTGTTGCCCTCTACAAACTACAGAAGGTGTGCTAAAACAAGCTAACAAGGGTTGTTAATCACTGCTAGGCGCCTCTATTCTCCGCTAAAGAGCTAAAGAAGACTAGAATGACAATTAATTTACATTTGTTTAAAGTAACCTGCTTGTGTGCAGAGAGATTTGCGTATGAGTTTAACCCTTTACCCTGACCTTGACACATAACCGCCGCCGTTTTCTGTTCTGTATGGCGCCTTATTGCCTCCCTCTCCCCTCACCTATCTATCTAGGCCATAAAGAATTTGGGTTTCTGGTGACCTGTTCCCGACCCGGTGATGATCTGTCATAAAATGAGCCTGCCCCAAAGTTTAAGAACTGTTTAGCTTCAAAGAAATTACCGGGTAATACTATGGCCCAAACCCCGAACGGTGCTTTCCTTTTGTTCTGTATGTATCAAATGAGTTAGATATCAGATCTTTGTAAAACTTAAGTTCCAGCATCTCATAACTCGTGACCCCTTCACACTCACTAGCGAAGACGAGCTGTCCTGGGATAATTAACTTCCCCACTTTCTTCTCCAAACATTGCTGCAGATGTGCCACTCCGAGATGTGTCAGTCTGTAGGATGGGAGTA